GAACATAGAGTGCAGGTACATAAGGCTAATGTGAAGAAACTGTTCAGGAGGAGCTTGATCAAGGAGCCTGAACAGGGGAAAGAAAGTTAAACATTTCTGATGACATCACTTGTGTCCAAAGCATGCTGCAGCTGTTTATAAGTTGTAATAGTATTGAGAGAATGATTTTAGGTGGATGGTTAAAAGTTTGGCTGATGTTACGGTCAGGATGACCACTGTCTCAATCCTACAACTGGTTCTGTGAGGATGGCATTTTCAGGATTGGAGTACATTTTTCCTTATCTATGTAATTCCGTGTTTTTCTCTGTTCTGTGCAGAGGCGGATTATTACACTCCGTCAGCTGGCCCAAAGAGGGGGGGAAGGCAGAGCTCACGTAGGAAAGAAAAGGACCGAGGGAGGGTTTGTGGGTGGGGCCATCAGACCTATGTGGCTGGGTTTTGGAAAGGTTGCTAACAAAGTTAAAATAAGTTAGTGACCAGCAGCTGTTTTGTCTGTGATCTTTTGGCGTTCACGCGGTTTTAATCTATTTCAGACACTACGGCTATGTCTAGACTGGCAAGATTTCCGGGAAATGCTTTTAACAGAAAAGTTTTCCGTTAAAAGCATTTTCGGAACAGAGCGTCTAGATTGGCACAGAATCTTGGAAGGGGCACCGGCCCGGGCGCATGGCACGGTGCATGTGGGGGCCCTGCCCCAAGGCACGCGGCTATGGGGGTCCCCGCCTCCGGGTGCGCAAGTGTCCCTGTCCTCTGGCGCCCGGCGGGCGAACGGCCACGCCCCCTGGCGCCCAGCAACCCCAAATGGTTGGGGACCACTGATGTAATTTAATATATACATGTGATTATTAAAACTGAAATAACTTTAGAAGTCTCATTTACTTTTCACTATTAATACTATTTATATTTTACATTTCTTTTGTCTAGGATTGTGAGAATAGGCAATAATCAGTTTCTCTTTCTAGTTAGGATTTATTTTTGGTTTTCGTGCACTACTAAGAACACTTACATTGCATTGCAAACACTGCTGATATTTGTTCAAAATATTTTTTCTGCTGTTTTCTTAAACACAAGTTCAGGAGCACATTTTTCATAGTTTTAATTTTTTCATAAGAGACATACATTTTGGATAAAATTTGATCTATTTCTTAGAACCTTTTTTATGTTTCATTATTCATTAAACAATGAGAGAGGCTGGACCACAGAACCCACAAGTCCCATCCCTATGTCACTTGTTGACACTTAATAAATATACTCTGCTTCTTTACAGAAATACGAGCCAAATATAATTTTATATAATGTATTGAATAGTTTTGCAGGCCTATGTGAAAGCCCATCATGTCTGTTTAACAATTATTCTGTCAGCTTAGTGTAACATGCTTTTAAACTTCTTGCGCTAGAGGAAATGTAACAAGTTCCATATTACACAACAACCAAACCAATCTGAAAGGAAAAATGTTATCAGCAAAAAATTCCTTCCTTTTCTTAGTTCTCTTCACATTGCCCCCTTCTGATTTTCAAAGAGATGACTATTGAAAGTGCATATCTAATCCCCATAATTATTTCCTCTGTCCAGTTTCACTTACATTTATTATTATTCAACACTGTTAAGAGACAGACAAGGGAGATTTAAATCTGGAGAAGGAGGAAAATGCTAGGGAATGAGCAACTCCTTAGATCACCTTAAGCATGTGGGTTTGAATAACACGAGGCAAGATATTAATGCTTCCAGCAGGAGGAGCCAGTGAAACTCAGCATGGCCCTAATGCAGTGGTCACCAACCAGTAGATCAGGATCTACTGGTAGATCTTGGAGCCTCTGACAGGTGAACCTGACTGGTCTGTCTGGGAGGCTATCAAGTACCAGCCCTTCAGCTGCCCTTCCCCACACTGTCCTGCTGCTCCTGCTCAGATCTTCAGAGCTGCCCCTGGGAGCCTCCTGCTTGTTGTGCAGCGTGAAGGAGAGAGAGGCAGGGGAGGCACTGATGTCACTCTGTCCCCCTTTCCCATACCACATCTTCACAGAGTGAGAAGGGTGGTGCCTCAGCAAAGGGGTGAAGCAGGGGTTTGGCCTTAGAGAAGGGCTAGGGCAGGGATATTTGTATCTGAGATAGATCCTGGACTGACTTAAATTCAAAAAGTGATCTTGTGCTTAAAAAGGTTGGCAACCACTGCCCTAATGTTACTTTAGAAAATTAACTATTGCTGCAGTGAGTATCAGCAAGTATAGACCAGGATAAACAACAGAAACAATGGTTTTCTGAAAGGATGCTGAACATGGATTGTACTGGTCTATGCATGTAGGTAGGTCTTCTGGTGTAGGTTTATGTGAATGACTATATTTTAAAGCATATTTAATGTGTCTTTGTATAGTTTTCATGTACAGTTGTCATTTTAAAAACATAAGATGAAGGCAGTATCCTTATCTATAGAAACTGCAGTGTTACAAGGAGAGAGGAAAATGCCCTATTGGAGAGAACAGTTAACTGGGAATAAAAAAACAGCCTTTTGAACATAGCAGGTGGGTTTGCATTCAGCACTACCATCTGTCTGAGACTGAATGAGAAATTTCCTAAATAAATGTTTGAGGTAATGAATTGTCTGTTTCATGATGAAAAGGTTTTTGATGGCTAGGAGAGTGAGAGCAAGAGAAACCTGTTGGATTAATCTAAGCCTTCAAATTTCAAAGATGAATGCAAAATGTAACTGAGACACCAAGATGAGCATATTATTGTGCGGTTGGGTCAGTTGAGTGTGAAAGTTAGCAGTTAGAAATTATACTGCATCTTTCTGAAAAGTGGTTTGTGTAAGCAAGGGTGGGAGGTTTTCCTAGCACACTACTCTATACAGGTAGTCCCCGAGTTACGCGGATCCGACTTATGTCGGATCCGCAGTTACAAACGGGGATTTTCTCGCCCCGGAGGACTCGAGCGGTGGGACGCCTGGTCCCGCCGCCCGCCTTCTCCGGGGCGAGAAAAGCTGCTCCCTGTCTGCCTGGTCTGCTGCGGGAGCCAGCAGACCAGGGAGACAGGGAGCAAAGCGGCACAGGACCCAGGGCCGGACCCGCGGCCGCTTCCAGATCAGCGGCTGAATCTGGATTCCAGTTCCGACTTACATACAGATTCAACTTAAGAACAAACCTACAGTCCCTATCTTGTACGTAACCCGGGGACTGCCTGTAACTGGAATTGTGATAGATAATCTGCTTGTAGGAGTTGGAGGTTTGTTAAAGATGAAGCACAAAGGATTTTTTTCTACAATTGGCTTTTTGCATTTTTTCCTTTTTATGGTATGTAAAGAAGGCCTGAAAAGCTTTTTGTTAAAGTTTTTTCCCTTATTTTTTATATTAGAGATATCAGGCATGTCTAATGCAGTCTTCCCTAGCTATGCTGCATAACCCTCTGGGAAATCTTAGGGATGTTTATTGAGAGTTGTAACACCATAATTGAAAAGGCAAGGAGGTTGAATCTTTAACAAGGCTCACTTTAGTTGTGATTTTAATCACTGAAATTATGTAGCTGTAAACATGAAAAACAAAAAGCATAAACAGACTGACTAAAAATCTCTTCCTTCTTCCTATTGCTAAGATCTGTATTGGCTCTTATGAAGTTACCATTTCAGTAGTTTTTTGGTCACCATAGAGTCTTCCAGCCTTACCATGATCTGAATGTTTTATATGGAAAACAAAAAGAATTAAATTAAACATACCTGAAACATCACTTCAGACAATCCTTACACGTAATAAAGGAACAAAAATAAAGGGCATGAGCACAAATTCCTCTCTTCTCCATTTAATGCAGATTATCTTTAAATCTGGTGGAGGTTTATGATGATCTGTCAGTAGTGGCTCCATGTAAAGATAGTCTTGGTTGAGCCAAGAAAAAGACAGAAACAACCCAAATGCTCTGTGGTGACCTAATATATCTTTAGGGGTGTTTATTCTTTTTCTCTAACAAATTGTTTTGAAGATTTGAGCTTTACTTACATGCATGAGCAGGCATGTTTATTTTTTATTTGTTTGTTGCATGATATAACGTTCGAACTATATTTTGAAAATTAACTCTGTATTAAGATTTTAAGGACTGGAGCAATTTTATGGCATAATGCTTTCTCTCTACTGGAAAGACATTTTCTACAGCATAGACTGTGATAAGGTGTCTAAAAAGGTATGAGGGGTTTTTTTTCCCCTCTGTCAAACATTCTGGAGAATTTAACGTTTAATTGGAAAACATTTTCTTAGCCTCTCAGGTGGCAAAATTATCTTTCCAAATATGAACCATTAGAGTGTTGTCTTCTCTGCAGACAGAGAAGTTTGAAAATCTCCAAAATAGCTCTAAGAAATGTTATGTGCCACTGTTCAACTCAACAAAATGTTGATGCCTGATGACACATTAATATCAATATTATTAATTAATTCACTGTTGATTATTTTAAGAGAAACATCCAATTACAGTAAAACTCCAATAGTCTGGCATCCAATAGTCCGGCACTCCTGATAGTCCGGCATCAAAATGGCAAGAGCCTAGTGAGTGAGCTTCAGCAAAAAATGAGTCACAAGGTAACAGCGGCAGCAGCTGAACTGAGCAAAAAGGGTAAAAAAGGCTTAAAAAAACTAAAACATTACAGTGTACTGTATACAGTATGTACAATAAAAAGAGTTAAGAGCACTTTATATACAGTATATAATGTATACAGTGTATATATATATAACCAGTTTATAGTACCTCTTGATAGTCCGGCATATCTGATAATCTGTCACCACCTAGGACCCATAGGTTCTGGATTATCGGAAGTCTACTGTACTGTGCTTTCTCTCTTCATACTGAATGTTGTGGGGGATGAATAAAAGAGTGGCTACCTTCAGCCTATTGGTGTTAAAGTCTACAATTGTAAGCAGAGAAATCCTACAATAGGTTAGGCCTTCCTCTGCCTGACTCTCAGCATCTGAATGTACCCTCTGTCTAAGCTTTTGTCTAAGAAGGCATGTGTTTTTCCTTGCTTCAGCCAGCAACTGCTTATCATCTTTTCTCAGCATAGTCTCTGATACGGCTTCCTACTTAATGTAGTACAGTGAGAATATACGTTTGTGATAGAGACACATGGAACAGCTGAGGACAGAGCAAAAGGCAAAGCAAGTTCTGTTAAGGAGCTTGGCTATGGGAGAAGAGGATACATTGTGGTAATTCTCCCTTTGATGCAGGCCCAGGGAAGAGAAGAGAAAAAGTTCCGGATGATGAAAAATGGTAAGGCCAAGTGTGAAATTCAGGATTGGGAAATTATATTATTTTTTAGGTGCTGGCAGTGTACTTTGCACTTTGTGCATACTAATATTGCAATTCCAATGGAGTTTACATCTTAAGAAAGACTTAAGATAGAGGTGGACTAGAAGAGGTGTTGAGTATTGAAAATATCTTTGTTCAGTTTTTTGTATAGTTTGGGGGGATGGAAAAGAGAACAGTCTAGAGGCCAGCATAGTTAAAATGGTGTAAATGTGACAACAACAGAGTTACTTTGCATTAGTGTAACTACAGTCAGATTCTGGCCCTAGGAGGTTAAGCTGCTCTAAACAATTCTAAAAACCTGATTTTTTTTTGAGCAGGGGGCCACTTACAGAGCAATATACTGTATTGGCCTTGTCTAGGCTGTTCCCTACTCTGGCACTCTGAGTGCAGATGGTGGGGGCCCACAAGAGACCTCAAAATACTTTGCCCTATTGGCTTCTGTCTAAAAGCTTCCCAAGGTCACAGATTCTCTGGCCTTGGGAAGTAGCTGCCACCACCAAGTGAAAAACCCCTTTCTTCCTGAACCAAGGAAGAAGCATTTGGGACTTCTTCCAGAGAAGTACTCCTAAGCATTTTTACCACTGGAGAGCTTGGAATAAAAAGAGAAAACAAACTGCAATTTCTGATAGCTGACCTCCCAGTCTTAGGCATGCATACACAGACCTCCTTTGCCTTCCAGGACACAAGAGTCAAATCATAGCCTTAAAAAAGGTGATTTTATTAACAAAACAAAAAGATATATTTGATAAATCATACTTGGTTGGAGGGGTTTTAAAACAATGGAGAAAAGAATAATTTAAAAACAGAGCGAAATCCCATCCCTGGAATACAGCTTAAAGTTACAACGTATGAGGGGAGGGATACATGGGCTTAGCACAGAGAAGTTTAACCAAACAACAGAACAAAGGAAATAACCTGATCGCATCTAAATAGGAATTTCCATATCTGCTTATGATCTGTGCTTTAAGGTCCAGTCCATTTCCATGCCCAGTATTCTTTGTAGGCATGGTAGTTCTGCCTGATTTAATTAATTTTGTTCCCTCAACTCCTGGCTTAAATTCACACACAGGAAAAACAGCAGGCAGATATCCCTTTCAATTGAAATCTCAATACTTTCTCCCATTGGCTTTCCTGGCTTCCTGCCAACACCCCCTGGCTACTTGAGTTTAACCCTTTAGTCATCAAATGCTGGGATGTTCAGAAAAGACCAGCACTTCTATCCATCACAGTTCTAACTGGACTTAATTAAGAACATAATTTGTTCCACTCCATAGAATGAGTTTAATACTGCTGATCTATCTGGTAGCTGACAAAAGGGTTAAATGTAAAGCAGTATACCTCTGTGTCTGCCATTGTTTCTTGGTATATTACTTTCAAGTAGATTCTGTTTAGCAGATCCCAGGAATATTCTAATGCTTCCATTATAATACAGTAAACTTCCGATAATCCGACACCTTTAGGACCCAGGGGGTGCCGGATTATCAAATATGCCGGACTATCGGAAGGGGGGGGGCTATGAGAGGTCTGGGGTGGCACCCCCCCCAGACCCGTCATAGCCTCCCCTTCTGATAGTCCAGCACTTCCTGGGTCCCAAAGGTGCCGGATTATCGGAAGTTTACTGTATTATAATGGAAGCATTAGAATATTCCTGGGATCTGCTAAACAGAATCTACTTGAAAGTAATATACCAAGAAACAATGGCAGACACAGAGGTATACTGCTTTACATTTAACCCTTTTGTCAGCTACCAGATAGATCAGCAGTATTAAACTCATTCTATGGAGTGGAACAAATTATGTTCTTAATTAAGTCCAGTTAGAACTGTGATGGATAGAAGTGCTGGTCTTTTCTGAACATCCCAGCATTTGATGACTAAAGGGTTAAACTCAAGTAGCCAGGGGGTGTTGGCAGGAAGCCAGGAAAGCCAATGGGAGAAAGTATTGAGATTTCAATTGAAAGGGATATCTGCCTGCTGTTTTTCCTGTGTGTGAATTTAAGCCAGGAGTTGAGGGAACAAAATTAATTAAATCAGGCAGAACTACCATGCCTACAAAGAATACTGGGCATGGAAATGGACTGGACCTTAAAGCACAGATCATAAGCAGATATGGAAATTCCTATTTAGATGCGATCAGGTTATTTCCTTTGTTCTGTTGTTTGGTTAAACTTCTCTGTGCTAAGCCCATGTATCCCTCCCCTCATACGTTGTAACTTTAAGCTGTATTCCAGGGATGGGATTTCGCTCTGTTTTTAAATTATTCTTTTCTCCATTGTTTTAAAACCCCTCCAACCAAGTATGATTTATCAAATATATCTTTTTGTTTTGTTAATAAAATCACCTTTTTTAAGGCTATGATTTGACTCTTGTGTCCTGGAAGGCAAAGGAGGTCTGTGTATGCATGCCTAAGACTGGGAGGTCAGCTATCAGAAATTGCAGTTTGTTTTCTCTTTTTATTCCAAGCTCTCCAGTGGTAAAAATGCTTAGGAGTACTTCTCTGGAAGAAGTCCCAAATGCTTCTTCCTTGGTTCAGGAAGAAAGGGGTTTTTCACTTGGTGGTGGCAGCTACTTCCCAAGGCCAGAGAATCTGTGACCTTGGGAAGCTTTTAGACAGAAGCCAATAGGGCAAAGTATTTTGAGG